GCACATGGTCAACCACATGTGTTGGTGCCGAAATGAAAATTATGAGGAAATTTTGGTAAATTCTCATTGATTTATGTGCATTCCTACACCATTCGTATGTTGACATGTATATTTCGTAGGTAAACTGTCAAGCTCAGCTGGCGAAGGCGAACATAATTTCCAGCATTGCGCGAGAAGAGGATGAGCACGAGTCTATCTCCCCTGAGAGTGTTCAAGTCAAATTATACACTGCTAGGATAAGATGTTTTACCGTTCAAGTCAAGCTGAACTAGGATGACGACTTGAAGGATTGTGTTAACCTACCATAGCTAAGCTAGATACGCTGTAGTTGGCGCTAGTCTTTATTCATAGTTCCTAATTGTAATGTGATGATATGATTATGATCTCATAGTAACGTGATGATAATCGTGCAGGGCTCTTTCTCATTTCTTCTATTGATTTGATAATAAACCTGCCCTACTCGTACAGTTGCGCTGAGTTTGAGTACACCACACCTTCGATCCCCGGTAAAGGCTTTTTTCTGACAATTTTTAAAGGTCACTAGGAACGTGTCGGGTCTTTCAATAATAATCAGTTTTGGAATTGGTTTTGAAAACTCATTCTTAGAATTGCGTTTATTGGCAGTGGTCTTGGAGTGCGCGTTCATCTGAATTCACCCGAGTGAGTTTTTAAGGTCTTTTTCAAAACCAATCAACAGTTTCGCTCCGCTGTTGGATATCCGATCTTCTCGAATTCCCGGTGTCAATTCGCTGCTATGAAACGGACCCCCCGTTTAGTCAACTACAGAAAGCCTTAGTTACTTGTTAACCTGTTTTATATGTCTGAGGGTGCATCAAGTGATAAGGATTTTTCCGATACAGCTACTACAGTCGCGACCGAGGAAGAGCCCACTCGCCATATCGATGCTACGGCACTGAAGGTAACCTATTTTGAATCTTTCACTTCGGAACCTAAGATTCTCCTCCCCAGGTGACCTATAATCCAGTACGGTCTTCTCTACCTCTTCTGAGCTCTCTCAAGTGGGGTGAGACTTTCACTGATCATATGTTGACTATTGACTATGATGCTGATAATGGTTGGCATGATGTAAGAGCCTACTTCTAATGGAAACAACGGAGTTACACCACCCTAGTGATATGAAAAACACTAGTGAGAAACATATTTCGCGACTTCTGCATATCACCGCGAATATCGCGCCCTTCACAGAGTATTACGCCGCTTCATGATGTATTCGATTAACTTTGAGTTTATATTCGGTCAACGAAGAGCTTGTTATATTTTTCATAGAGTAAATTTATGACGTGAAATGTATCTTTTCTCCAGTGATTTTATATCATGAGAGTGAATCCAGATATTTGATATATTGGAGTTTCACGACCCGTTTTACGTGAAGTGCCGTAATACTCGGTGAAAAACGCGATATTCGCGATATGCAGTGGTTTGTGAGATATGTTTTTTTAGTAGTGTTTTTCATATCATCGGTGAAACTTA